GTTGTGATTTCAGCCACAGTTTCTGTCGTGAATGCAGATTAGTTTAAGTCTGTTTGAAAGAGTGGAAAGAGTGGACGCCAAAATGAACCCCACCCTTCTCTTGACTGAGCTCACAGTAGTTTCCATCTTGTGTGACGTCTTCTCTTAATCACTGGCACTGACCTCCCGGAGTGAGGTGTTGAATTAATGGAACATACCGAAAGGACTTCACTCTGACACCCATATCATATTTGGACCCTTCTGAAACTTCTATATTCTAGCCCACCTGGGGCATTGTTTTTTATTCTTAATATGTTTGCAGACAGTTCATTGGCGACACAAAATGTTCGGCCGTTTTTTTGTTATTGTTTTTATTTTTTTATCCTTTTGATGACTAAAGCAGACCTTTGGATCAAAAATTGAGAATTAAACAGTACCTATTTCCCAGATGCAAATTTATTGAGCCCTCTCATTGTAGGTCTCACCGAGTTTCTAACTTTTTCTCCCCACTTTATTTTTTGGTTTATGTTTTTTTCTTTGCTGATGGGAAGGGTCAAGGACAGTGAGATCCGGGGACATAAGGACAATGTCTGGACATGTACGCAACGGTTTGTTAACATTTATGAACACTAGTCCATCCGGCCCCCTATGGTGCATTTCCTGTGTTTCCAAACTGTGTGCTTCTCTGATCTGCCCTTGATGAAAGAGACTGCGTGTTTGATTTAAGTAAGTAAGTAATAAAGTTTATTATAGCGCATTTCACAGACCCAGATCAACAAAAGAGCTTCACCACTTCAAAGCACAAAAAATACACATTCGAGTGAGATTTTAAAAACAAAAACACAGAAACTTAAAGGACTTTTAAGGAACTATTACAAACATAAATACGTATGGGATATGAAAAGATATGTTGATATGTTGCTTTACATGTTAATTGAGAACAAGTCCGATCTTGTTCCACAATATTCTATCGTATTCTTAAAGTAAAATAATTCCTTAAAAAGGACACACGTTAACAGATACACGTAGTTTTTCCAACATTGCATGACCCCTTATTCATCTTTGCTGAGAAAACACCAGGGGCTATAGGGGTCCAGTACACCTATTTAGACCTTTCTGAAGGTCATGTGGTTGCTATAGTGGGTGGAGAGCTTTCTCACAAGTGGTGGTCCCTGCGCAGATCACCATGGGCAACTACCCCAGGCAGACATTACATAACAAGAGTCAAACCCCACTGTGGCTCCAAATGAGACCATCACACGGGGAAGTTAGGTTTACATGTTAATCTTGCTTACTGAAGAATGAATGTTGAAATACTTGTCGTGAAACCTCTAATCATATAAACATTTCAATATATGCTTGCTGATTCATGTTTTTTCAGCAAGTGGCCAAAATGCAGTACGATATATGTTATTGTAACTTATGTTACATGAAATTACATGGCTTTGTTTTAAACACTATAAAGCTTTTTCACCGACTACAATTAGTCCCCGTTATATCCAAAACAAATGATGACCAAGGAAACATACTGAACATCCACCCAGATATATCCTAAATATGATGAAATGGTGCTATTTGAAAAAGAATAAATAGTTACATCAACTTGTATAAAAAATAGTACATCGGAAATTTTCATTGTTATAATGTGAAGATTAAAATAACCAAAAATTTACATAATTATCCTGCACAGCCTATATTTTTTTTAACCTGTGCTTTAACTCATTTGCACAATCAGAGTGATTTCAATCTATTCCAATGTGTAACAATTGTACATCTCTCCTTGTGAGATGAATAAGGATTATCTTATCTTAACTACAAATGGCCTAACTCAGATTTACATAACAGTCAATAATGTAATACAAATATAATGTATTTGATTATAGATAAACGATACTTTATTTGTCCCCACAGTGGTAAATTTCAGTGTTGCAATACCTGTTATAGAACAGAAGAGAAGAGAGCACACAGCACACGATAAGTTCAACAAAGCTATACTCATTAAAATAAACAAAACCTCTAACTTCTAGCATCAATAAAAAGTATAAAATCTCTATCTGAAAATAACAATAGATTGTAAAAATGGTACATTTGTATCTCTGTTAGTTATTGTTTATATGTCATATTTTAGAGTAATTGCCCCAACACAAGGTCGGCAGGCAACCGTTGTATTCCGCCCACAGGTCCATGAATCCGCAGTGGCTGTGTGCACTGCACACAGGTTCTGTAACATAGAAGGGATTAATGAAGCTGGACGATGTCTATTGAGTTCTAGCTGCATTCAGGTTTGCAAGCAATTATCACTGCACTGCAAAGCCCTGTCACAGGAGACCTAGATCTTTTTTTGCGATTGGATGTAAAACAACCGCACAGGCCGAGCCCACCCGCAGCCCTCCACCACTGCTGAGAAAGAACACACAACACATAACCGCAGGCACAAACCATCTCGATCCCCTCAGAAGTCAGTGAGACACTTCCTCTCGCCTTGTTTCAATCTGATCGAAGAGAAAAGAAGGAAATCAAAAAACTGTTTTCTAACTGTAGCGCTCGCTTTGAATCATTATCCTTCTTTGTATTTTTTTTTTATTCTTTCTTTCGTTTGCGATTTTCAATGTGATAATAGATATGCTGTTTGTAAAACCTACACTCCTATACTTAAATATACAGCTAATAGTTTAGTGTTAATTCTTGAAGGATAAGACCTTAATTAATAATCTTGAGATAAACCATCCTATGCCCTTATAGAATAATTGTATAAGCACATTTGGAACAATTTTTTTTATTTGAGACTTTCATCTCAATATGCATCCGTGTGGGAAGTAGGCTGCATGGTATGTGTGTGTGTGTGTGTGTGTGTGAAAGATGGGCGGTGGTTGTAAGGACCGATTAGCACAAACTTGCCCCAAGACAACTGAGACTACAGTAGTAGTTTATCACCAATGTGTGTGGAGTGAAAGATAAATGCCATGTGAAGTTTGTGAGCGTTTTTTTAAACCGATTCCCATAAAGTCAAACACAAACACGCCAACTTCACCACATTTTGAAGCTCTTCATAGAATAATTGCAGTTGTGATGCCGTTTATTTTTCTGACAATAAATGCAATCCATAACTTCCATCGATAAGAAAAGCTGCTCATGTGAACCCAAAACAGGATCCACATTCAGCGGAAGAACAGTGGCACTACTCCTTTCCCTCATTTCCTGTTTGCATCTTTTTCCAAAACACCATTAGTGCACTGCTTGAAGTACAAGACTAGAAAAACTGGTCCTTTCCACTGCTTTATCTATGTACAATTTCCCGTCTCCCATAGCGACCAGAGCACATTCAACATGTCCGATCCTCAGGCAAAACCCATTTCACTATTTCAAGGCTGATACATCTCACCCTTTATCATCAGGAGACTTTATTGAAACACTTCCCAAATTAAATGAATACATTAAACCTAAATGAGTGGGATACAACAAACAGTAAATGATAAATGAGTCATAAAGTGACTCTGTTATGGCCTACAGTCATTAAACTATTAGTTGTTGTTAACAAGAGAATGGAAAAAAAAATGCTAATTAAAAAAAGACAAATTAAATTAAAAGATATATGTTAAATTAATTTCAACACAGAAGTTTGACAACAGAAATGACAACATAATATTACAAAGCCATCCATCCATTTTCTACCTCTTAATCCATTTCTGGGTCGGGGGGGAGGGGTGACCAGAGATGCCACCCAGTCCATATAGCACCAGCCCTATTACAAAGCCATTTTACTTTTATAAAGGAGACATATTATGCAAAATAAACTTTACTTAACCATTTTTCAACATATATATATATATATATAAAAAAAACGTCATGGAGTTGTTTTTAAATCTATCCAGGCTTTCATCGGGAACTTCTGGCACAAACATGTCAAAACTCCCCTATGTCTAAAAGCTCCTGTCTCAGTCCTGTAAAGCATAATTGTTTTTGCAATTTCTGCGCTGATTTTAGGGATAAAATGTATTTGGGAAAACTCATAGCATATGCAGTTACAGGCAGAAAGCAATTTTAACCCTTCACCATACATTTTATCCATAAGATTTAGTTTCAAGTTTTAAAACATGAAAGTAGTCTCATTTTAATCTAAATAAGCCATACTGTTATTACAAATAAAACCATCTCTTCTGTACATGCTGTAAACCAGTGACGTTCAATTAGGAGGAAGCTTTTCTTTTAACGAGAGCCAAAACAAAGGAGGAGAAATAGTTTCAGCAGCAGCAAAAAAATAGCATAAAACGGGTTAGTTGGGGTCAAAGAGATAACTGGGCGTCTCTCTTGTGTCAGCACTTTATACTTCGGCCGCCTGCTCGGTGCTACTACTTTACTGCAGTGTGCTACTATCATGTACCACACACACAGCTGCTGCGTAAACTTGGCAACTTTTCTGGATTTTCCCCCCACTCTGACTGGCTCAAATAGCCCTGCAGAGTAGGTCAAGTTCAGCAGCTGCTCTTATGACAAACACAAATCAAAATCAGAGATAGATTTATTCGTGACAACCCCTTGAGATCAAAACACTAACTTTTTTAGTTTGTTTTTGGTTTACCAGGTTTTGAACACTTCTGACTTGTATATATGACATGTGGAGGCCAAGTGCTGAACATTTTACTAATACTGAAAGTGGTTTATGATCTGTCTACTTATGTTCCAATTGAAGCTGGGATTTAGCAAACATGTAAGAGAGAGCACTGTCAGTCACGATTTGAGTCTTAAAAAGTGATAGAGAGCAAAAAGCATGTGCATGTGAAAACAAGGTTTGAAGATTGGGTACCCCAGCTTTAAGCATTGTTATTTTGTAAAGTAGGTGTTCTTTGCTGAGGGTTTTACCAAATGCAAAATCCTTAAAAACTTTGTGAAAAAGCTTCAGCTTCAGTTCATAAATGAGCAGTTTTCATAATGAATGGTTGTCAGTGCAGAAAGGTGTACGTATGGGTCTGATGGTGTAACTTTAAGATGATGTTGTAAAAGCACAGACTGTTTCATGTGCTTTAGAAAAGCAGCGCTCCTCCGCTCACTCTTATTGCCATGGCAATGATGTTACAGTGAGTCACCTCCTCCATGAGGACCAGACCCAGACTGGGCTCTGTTTCCACGGAAACAGACTGGGGGTCTCCCCAACCCCCATTGGCTCCCACTGGTTTAGCTGTGCTCAGACCTTCCTGCAGGATGTCTTACTCTGTCTGTCCTGAACAAACCGAGAATGTGTTTTTTCCTGAAGTTGTTTTTAGGTTTGCTTTAGTTCGATCCAATGGTGTAGGTTTGGTTCCAATCTTGGTGGGGACATTCACTACGACCTGAGTCTACACCCATTGACACGGGGTCCAGAGTTTCTCCCCCAGAATTTGTTGTGTAATCACACACTATATTTGCAATAGTGTGTCGCCTTCTATACTAAACTCAGCTGTAGACTGAATGAGAAGCAGTTAAAGGACAACTCACCCTCAAATCCACTTTTTTTTGCTGATAAACGGTATAAATGAGTGTCCAATAGTGTTGTCTACATATCCTGGTCATAATCTTGTCACTTTGGTGCAAATTAGTTGAAAGTTAGACTTTCTGCCTAAAACCGTCTGTGAGGCGCCATCTGATGGCGCCCTGTATTACTACATTTGAATTTTGAATCTGGCGCCAACACTGGCACAGAAGTTGGACCTGACGTCTGCAAGTTGGACCTGACGTCTGCAGCCCCCCGCCCAGAACAATGTAAACGGCCCAGTCTCGTTCACGCCCCCTTTAGTCCTCCAGGCTACGCCCATTTAGAGGAAGATTTGAACAGGAAATGTGAGTGACGTAAGCTCCGAGGAGCGGGGGTGAGAACCACTTTAAGGATTTTTTCTAATCGTTAAAACAAAATCAATTGGATCAGAACTTCTGAGTTTTGTGTTGCGTTCATTCTAACTTTGTCCACAAGATGGCTTAAATGTTTATAGTAAATAAGATAGTAAATATATCCTGTATTCAGGATCAGGCTGATATGGTTTACAACCTATCTCAAATATGCTGTCCCTGGCACTTTCTTGAGAGTGACTCTCATTGGCTGCCTCCTAAATAGCAAATACACTGTTATGAAACTTTAAAAAATCCCATATTTTATCTTCATAATTCCAGCCTCATCTGAAGCCCAGCTTCGATATCTGCCTGCACTAACATCTTCCCTGAATACCTGAGTTCCCTATAATAAATAAAACACATGTAGTGCATTAAACAAATCAGATCTAAGCATATACAAAATAAAACCACCAACAAAACCAAATAAATACTTTCAACCTCACCTGAAGCCCTGAAGGTCCAGCCACTTCCTCATCCTCTACCAGCACTGCACATTCCCTGTTTGTCTGACTTTCCTTTATGGTATTAATAAAAACACACATTCTACATTGAATAAAATGAAACCTAGGCATGGTACACCAGTCGCTAAATATCTCATGAAACTAGGATTGGTTGATGGGTCTAAGATTTTAACTGCTTAACCCTAACCTCACCTGGAGTCCTGTCTTGTCCTTGTCTTTATCTCCTTCTTGAATTTCCATTATATCTCTCAGAGTGTCCTATATTTAGTAAAAGATTTCAGACAACACTTTTTGCATCATTATAGTAGTAAAATATGTTGTAATTGGCATAGGTAATTTCCAACCAAATGATGTTCTTTAACTTTAGTATGATTCTATACTGACTTAAACCTAATCCAAATCTACATAATAGCCCTCACCTGAGGCTCTAACAGTTCAGGAACTGCTCTCGATACTTGAAATAAATCATGCTCTGATCTTTCAATTTCCTATAATAAATAAAAACAGAGGAGAAAATATTGAATTTGAATCTACAGTGAGTAGCTCACTACATTGTTTGACATATACGATCAATCTCTAAAAACAATTCATAGTCCCATGCATACCTACAAAATTCCAACCTCACCTGCTGCACTGTTGCTTCTACCTCAACATTCCCTATATTGTTCTCTCTTGTTGGTTGAGTTTCCTATGTATGTTAACAGAAGATTAATCATCACAATTCATAATTTGCTATTACTTGTGCTTTCTCTTACTTACTTTCCAACTGTTAAAAAAGCTCCTGATATCTTTTATCTTTTTTTGTGGAGGTGGCATTTTTTCTAAATTATATAAGAAGGTATAGACAATCAAAAACAGACATTCATATACATGAACTGCAGAATCATTTATATAACTTGGCCAATGTCAAAAGTTACATAGTATTTCTCAATACAATGAGTTAACAAGAGTTTGGCAATAAGTAACAGTGTGGATTTTTCTATATTTTCTTTTTTTTATTCCACTCTCTACCCAAAAAGGCAAGTAATGACTCACAGGGTTCTCAAGTATTCAAAATAAAAACTTAAATGACCTGTTGTGGTGTGTTTTGCGCACAACCAGCATGCATCGTTAACGCAATGGAAAATTTAGGTATCCGAGCTTTAATTTCGGGAGCGCTGGTTGCGCTTTGGGAAGAGTCAGGGGAGAGACATGTCAGAGACACAGGGGAGAAACGGGGGAGATACGAGGGAGACCCGCACTTGCAACATGGTTCTGTCTGCATATGGTCCGAGCTCGGTACCATGTTAGAGCTGTGCTTTCACTGAGCGCCGCGGCTGTCATTACAAAGCGGCAGCAGCTGCACCAGGACGTGCACATTCGAGTGCATCGCTTGAATGTGCTTAGAGCAAATAACAGCAAGTGCCCGCTGTCACACATTTCACAGAAATTACATTATCAGCAGATAAAGGTTGTAAATTGTGGATCCGTGGAATATTTTCATCCCTAGTTTATCCTGATTCACACAAAACACCCACTTATACATTTTGGATAGTAAGAGAACAATAAGTATTTTCTCAGCCTTTCAACCAACCTGTTTCTTTATTGGAGCCAGTTCTGTTCTGTCTCTGTGCCGTGTGAGCTCCTCGGAACATTAAACAGTGCGCTGACAGATTAGAAATAACGTAAGTACTTTGAATGGTAATAGATCTACAGTACTTTCCTCTGATTACTCACGTGCTACAACGCTCAGGGAACGAAAAAAAACACTTGCTTCACGCTGGCTAACTTTTAAAAATTAAACAGTTGCTCAGTGCTTCAGTTTGGCGCTGAAGAAGACAGCCAATCACTGCAGAGAGAGGAACGGGTCACGTGCTGCTGCTGCTGCTGTTGCTCTGGAGGCGAGGAGGAGGCGCGACGTGTGCACAAACGGAAGACATGTGTCCCGGACCGTCCGGGTCACGGGACATCATGTCATTTTGGTGGGGACTTATTAGTCCTCACCAAATATTGGTGGGGACATGTCCCCATGGTCCCCACGCAAACCTACGCCCTTGGTTCGATCATTCAGTCAAGTCCTGTTCATTTGAAAATGCTTTCAGTACATTTTAATATTGAACTGAATGTATTTTCAATCAAGCCACTTTTGTAATGGAATAAAACAATCCAATGAAATATTCTTCTGAAAAGTGAAACTTGAAAGTGTACAAAAACAGTGTTTCCCAGTCAGTGGCAGTTCTGGGGCACCTTCTTGTGGCACGTGTGGCCTCTCCCTCTTCAGTTTTAAATTGTGAGTCATTTTATTTCAAATAACCCTCCTTTTAGTTAATCCTGATTTAGAAACACTTTAGAACAGTGGGGTCCAACACTGCTGAGCCCGCCTGAAGCGGGTACTGTTACATTCTCATAAAATAATCAGCCTGTTATCAGAGCGCAGTTATGCATTTACAACACACATGTAAATCATAATATGTAAAATTAAACAAATATTTTCCATATCTACGGGTTGGAGGTTCCACCTCTGGAAATAGTGCTGTGCTCTGTTAGACCGATCCTGGACCATGTGGTAAAATAATGTCTTGTACTGAGTGTAAAAAGTTTGAGAACCACAACAAAACAAAATAAGTTTATGATTCTCACCTTTATGGAAATGGGTGATTGTGTATCAGTGGCACAATTTACAAAGCACTTAACAGAAGTCTTCTTCTGAGAACGTGGATCAATAAAAATGCCTCTCTGACTCTGGCCTCATCAGTCACTCTTTATCTTTCCCTTTTAACATTAGATTACTGCACTACTGTCCACAAGAACTCCTCCAGACTGAAGATATGATGGACATTACACTCCCAAACAAGCAAGAAAAGGTCGAGGCAGGGAAACAGAACTCGATATTTTCAGCTGTGATGGTTCAAATGGGTATAATGGTGCAAATCTAATCAAGCCGTGTCAATTACCAAAACCCTGGGTGTCAGAATAAAAGTCAAAAGTAGAAAGCACAGGGTAGAGAAAGTTGATTGAAGGTGATTACAGTCTTCTTACAATTAGTACATTTATTGTCTGATTGAATCCATGCAGGAGGAAGAGCCATGCTGCCCTCGGGAGCGATACTAAAATATTCCTGGAAACCTGTCTCCTTTGCAAATGTATTTATGAAAGTGCTGGTTTTAACTACAATGCGAGCGTATGTCTGTCTGTCTAGCTTGTCGTTTTGTTTGTCTGTTAATTTGTGCCATACTTAAGAAAAGGATTGGATGAAAGTTCAGTTCAGTTTATCTATTATTAGGGCAGAAGTAAAAAAAAACTTGAGCGCCCATTGCATGTTCATGATACAATACAAGTTACCATAACATATTTCAATGAATTAATTTGTTAGTTACAAGTTCAACAAAATCATTCCGTTCGGTATCCGTCCAGGATAGACTGTGACAATTCTTTCTTAGATACAAAAAAGGAATTACATATTTTCATCTCTCTGCTGAGATTGTTCAACAACGGAGCCCCATGAAACAACAGACATCTCTGAGTCAGTGATTTTCTAACTTTTGGTAAAATACATTTCCTGTCATCTCTCTAACCATATCTAGTTTTTTGAAGTTGAAAATCCTTTTGAACACCTTCTGGAAGCACATTGGATTGAGCCTTAATCATGATTTGATGTCTAAATTTAATAATATTTGTTTTTAGAAATAATTCTCAAGAAAACTCTATGATAGCAAAAGTGATTACATTTTCTACAAAAAGTGCATCTTGGCGTGACTTGACGACTAAGCATTTTAACGTTTAGACTCTGACTCAATTCACACGCTGATAATGGCTAAGTAAGTGTTATAATACTGGTTCTAAATTCTAACAATGCAGAAAACAATACAAACAGTTTAAAATAATACATGAAACATCTTAGGCAAAATGTTTAATTCACTATTTTTACTGTCTCACAACTGATAACTGAGTGCACACTGTATGTGAAAGAGTTTGGTTTAAAATTACAATATAATCCAGGTCACCATTCAGTTTGAAAAGAATGGGATTGCGTCAACACACAACTTTTATGTCTGATAGTTGGTGTTGTGCGACAGATTAGCCAATCAGAGAAAGTTATCGCAAAACTGTACATGAAGAAAAAATAGAAAAAACAAGTAAAGCTCTCTACACGGTTTACTGTATCTGATGCTGTTTACACGGAGAGGCTGCGACAGTAAAACGTTAGAGTCGGGTATCGGAATGGCCTTTCGTTTACATGAAGACAGTGTTTCAGAGGGGCTCGGCCGTGCTCTGACCAATCAGAGCGGAGCTAGAGCGGGAGTTAGAGCGGGAACCAGACAAGCAGAGTTTGTGGCACTGAAGCGTGGATTTAAATAAAACTGGAGGATTTAAGAAGGAAAATTTCAGGATGACAAGGGACACTAAAATCCCCACAAAATCCGACCTTTGTGAAAGCTGTAGGTTCTCTGTCAGCTGAGGTCGAGCTGTTTTAGTTTACATTGAGATCTATGGGAAAAATGTCTGGGTAGCCCACGTGAATTTAGTCTTGTTGACTCTGCAGTACCGCGAGAATCCCTCGAGCACATTAGTCCTTTAGCTACAAGCTAGAAATACCCTATCCAGTTATTATAATAGATCCATGGCTGTTTCACAGCTTTGTGAAGAAAAAGATGTGCGTCGAGCGAGTTATTTACTTATAATATAGTATTTAATAAATGCTGAAAACATTCTAATAAAAGTGGAAATGTATGCATGTATATTTTCCTCAAAATATATGTTACTTTAATAAATTAAAAATGGCAGGGCTCTCCTACATCCATATGGCCATGATCCTCACATTTTGAGGAGCAGGCAGGTTGTAATTCTGTGTTTTCCCTGGTGCAGTTTCACTCTCTTCTGTTTGTAGATGAGGTCACTATGCCCTCCGCTCTCCCGTGCCTCAGCCAGGATGACATCACCACAGAGTGGCCTATTCATCATTATGTTCATCAGAACACAGACACACGCACACACACACACACACCCGCACACACTCGCACACACACACACACAGTACCAACAGCAAAGAGGATAAAAGCGGACTATCCAATATATCTGCTACCTTTAGAGTCCAGAGCTGGGGGAAAAGGAGCGCGTCAGTATCGTGCTAGGGTAGGCAGAAACCTCTGACCTCAGGACCAACAATACGTCTCAATAAAGCACCGCACAGACAAATGTGATGAGTCAGACTGGAGCTGTCCATACACACTACAGAAGACTCAAAGAAGAGAAATACTTTCTCTTTCTTATTACGGTTCACTCCATCTAATATCTATTTCAAGAGTGCACCACTATTCCCTGTATGTAGTGGTGTATTGTACACAAGGCATCACGTTGTTGATATCACAGTGTTACAGTCCATTGCGCATGAGCAGTATTATTTAATATACACCTTATTTTGACGTACCTATGTCCAAGAGTAAAGTCATTCAAAGTCATTGAGGGTCTGATTAATCCTTTAGGCTAAAGTAGCAGGATTGCTACAAAATGGACAATTTCCAAACAGCAGCCTGCCCTCAGATCTCACATCATTCTCTTTCATTTATTTTTTATTTTAATTTTAGTAGCTCTGTTTCACATAACATTTGATTGAAGTCTTGGCCCTAAATGGTTCATATATACTGTACATTACTCATAAGGCGTGTTTACAAAAGAAGAGGATTATGTTTGTTCACTCACATAGTCATGGAAAGCCTTGGCCTCACTCGAGTGTTCGCATGTGTCCCTTCTCTCAGGAGCGGCACAGTACAGGTCCCAAAACACACTGGAATAACAAATCTCAGTGAGCGCGTGAAGTAAGGACCTCTACAGAGTAAACATCACAGAGTCAAATGAGATATGAGTGTACTCTTACCACCACCACGAGTGAAGGAACCCGGGAGGCTCCCCTAATGTGATGTTTTTCTCCCATCGGATCTGCACGGAGAGAACAGAGAGAGGCTTCCTATACATTAAAGTGTAAAACAAGTTGAACATCTGAATTAGCCTCATTACAAGTGAATTCTTCTTAACACACGCCATTATGTGATTGCATTATGATCCTCAAGCCCTGAAGTGGGTAAGTGAGTCTCGCTGCAGCTAAAAGCCTGTCTATTCATAAATAGCTAAATATACGTATGAAGTGTATTGTACTCGTCTGAACGGAAGACGAGCAGAGAATGATTCGCACTCGAGGCTGTATGTGACAATACCATCTGTCCTTTCGTTCTTTTGTGTATTGTTCATTTTTTCTTTTTTTTCTCGAGCCTGCACAATACTTGCATTTACATATTACAATATACAGTAACAGACAAACAAACTTGTACCTGGTTCAAAAATAAAATGAAGAAGAACATGAAAAAGCACCAAACTTGAGTTAATGAGGAGTTAGATGAGTATGATAAACTTTTAAAACGACACTAGCAGTGCCGATCTCCAATATGTGTGTCAACGCTGAAAGAAGAGACAAAACATTAGGGTGCTATACTGAGTGGGATAAAGGTGGGGTTTACATGGCCTTCCAAACAGATAATGAAGGTGTATGAAAGATTTTCCAAAATGTTAGGAAAGAAAAATGTTCTTAAGTTCTTCTATATACCTTTTAATTGATCTGTTTAGTCGTTTTCACATTTGGTTTAATTGTTCATATAATTTGATTTCCTACTGTGACATACAAAGTAACACGAGCTGTATCAAATCATGAGTGAGAAGAACTCTCGTCATTGCTGTGAGACCTATTGGACAAACATGACTGTTCCTCAGCACAATTCTACAATGTATCAGACTGTTTGACTTAATGTATAGGAGCCAACATTTTGAAGAAGAGAAAGACAAGAAATAAACCATCCCTGTTCAAAGCTGCCATGGCGTCTCCTTCTTTGGTCATGGATACAAGAGAATGTATGCCTACTGCTTCTTTGAGTCTGGAGCACCTCCAGCTCTTTTGACACTTTTACTAGAGGCTATAAAGAGCTAGCGGTTCTATCTTACCGGAAAGATCTCATTCCTCAGAGTGCTTCAGATGCTACGGCCAATTATATTTGAGTGTGTTAAGTCCTGGGTTGATCTTTAAATCAGCATTCAGCAAAAATTTAGAATGCATGTATGCCAGTATATTCTATGGATTAGAACATATTTTAGGAATTTATGAATATAATTTTTTAAACAGTGAGGCAAAAAAGTATTTTGTCAGCCAATAATTGTGCAAGTTCCCCACTTAAAAAGATGAGGAAGGGATGTAATTGTCATCATAGGTGTACCTCATCTATGAGAGACAGAATGAGAAAAAAAATAATGTATTTATTTGCAAATTATGGTGGAAAATAAGTATTTGGTCACCAACAAAGCAGCGAGATGTGTGGCTCTCACAGACCTGTAACTCCTTCTGTAAGGATGGCACCTGTTCGAACTCATCATCAGCATAAAGGTAAAGGTGCACTTTATTAATCCCCATAGGACAGTTCAATCCTCTGCATTTGACCCATCCTGATGCCACTAAGGCTTATGTCAGGAGCAGTGGTCGCCGTAGTACTGCACCCATTTCCAGATGTTGATGCTCGGCTTGGTCAGGACAACCGGAGCTGGAGGATTTAACCTAGTGTGCATGTTTTTAGTGGTAGGGGATCCGGAGAACCCGGAGGAAACCTGCGCAGGCACAGGGAGAACATGCAAACTCCACTCAGAAAGTCCCTGTTCCAACTGGGATTTGAACCCAGGACCTTCTTTCTGAGAGGCAAGAGTGCTATCCACTCAGCCACCGTGCCGCCCGTTAATGACAGACACCTGTCCACAACCTCAAGCCACAATGAATGAGTGGCTTTGTAAGAAGCATTTCTAGGTCCTTGAGTGGCCTTGCCAGTCTTCAGATCTCAAAAGCATAGAAAATCTTTGGAGGGAGTTGAAAGTCTGTGTTACCCAGCAGCAGCCCCAAAACATTACTGCTCTAGAGGAGATCTACATGGAGGAATGGGCCAAAACACCAGCAACAGTAAGTAAGTCATCTTTTTTAAATAGCACCTTTCTCAGACCATAACCAATTGCTGTTTTGGGGCATTTGTCACTCACTCCACACAGAGAGAGAGGTCACCAGTACAGGAGGCACAAGCCAGAGCTATTGCACATTTTTTTAGTGGTAGGGGAAACTGCAGACACAAAGGAGAACATGCAATCTCCACTCAGAAAAGTCCTGTTCTGACCGAGTTTCGAACCCAGGACCTTCTTAATGAGAAGCGACAGTGCTATCCACTCAGCCACAACTAAGTATAGGGATTTGCTTTTGATATTGACCAAATACTTATTTTGCACCATAATCTGCAAATTAATTCTTTAAAAAGCAATTTCATTTTTGTTCACATTCTTGTCTCTCATAGGTATAATGAAAATTACAGACCTCCCTCATCTTTTTAAGTGGGACAACATGGTGTATAAGTACAGCTGCTGAGTAGATACATACACTTTGAGATAGCTAATACTAATAATGCAGCGCTAATGTTAACACCCCTCCACTGCCGCTGACCTGTTGGCTCAGCAGCTAGAGGCCACACTCATTCAATTAAGTGTAGTCTTACTGGAAGTGTTCCACAGCCACTGAAACCATCACACCATAACGCAGCTCACCTCAGATAAGAAGGTCTGTGCGGACTTCTGAGCTCCGACGTGCAGCAGGTACTCGTACACATACAGCGCTAACCTGTGAGAGGGCACAGGGAGAAAAGAAGAGTTTAACATAAAAAAGAACAAATCCAAAGGTCCGAAGGTCATGAAAGACACTCAGAAGTAAGAATGTAACCATATTGATTATATCGTCTAAGTAAAGGTGTCTTGCTGTTCTTGCAGTCGTGTTTTAAAAGAGCTGGTATTCTCAGAAAATATCAACTATAAACCCCTGAGAACAAACAAAGCAATGTAAACCACATAGACCATGATCCTTTGGGCTGCATTGTCACAAGAAATTATGTCGAGCCAACAGGTTGCATTTGTCTTGTAGAATTCTATTTCAGTCGGATGGCAGGTGCCACAAATCTGGGAAAGAGGCATTTTTTTACAAAATGTTTCGCCAGATCCATAAATCATAATCATAATTATGACAGTGATTAGATTCATAAACCTGCCATATAACTGTTTGTAGACCGTATTAGGTTATGTACTGACAAAGGAGGTGTGGACCTCTGTTTCAGAGGATTGTGACTTTTGTCACTTACCATAGTTAGCAGGAAAGATTTTTAGCTGCTCACCACAGTTTGTACTAACGTACTTTCAAATGTCTGAGAATGAAAACACTACCGTACTGTGGAGGCCCTTGCAAGGCCCTTGGAAGCTTTTTGGTTTTGCCGTACCAAAATTACTAAAGGAGAGAGGGTGGACAGACAATGGACTAAGTCCTGACTCCTAGCACTGGCACCACAGCGCGATACAAAACAGGAAACAAGAGTCTTCTGACGACCCATCAGCCGAGTTTACAGATTCTCTCACAAAGAAAGTCCTGTTCCTGCACAAAAAACCTCACAGAAAGCACTTTCAACATCAAACATAAAATAGTGTGAGTGTGCAAGAAATCATGGAATGCATTTAGTTTCCAACTTAGGTTGTTTCTTAATTTATTTGCCCATATGCTCCTGACAAGTTCAGCAAGATCAATTAATACAAGATAAGATAATTATCTAATAACATATTGCATAATTCATGTTTTTAACCCTTTAGGTTTTTTCCCAAAATGCTTGATTGACAGAAGGCTATAACTTAAAAGTGATACAGTAAGAGATAGAGGCTTTCTATAAAATAGCAAAATGAAGGATAGACCAAAGTTGTAGTCTGTCAATGTACCCATCTAATTTGACATGAACACTGAAACAGAACTCACATTTTACAAAACTAAATAGACAGGAACAGAGAAAATGAACAGTGTACAATGTACATCATACTACCCCTGCTGCGTACAGCATGCGCAGACGTGGTGCAGACATCGCCCCTGAGCGCAGACGTGGCACAGACATTTCTCCTGAGCACTCTCTCTCGTCTAACGTACCCAGTGTTATTAGACAAAGCTCCTCCATCACTTTACTGTCCCTGCAATTCTGGGGAGGCACAAGCAGCGGAGGCTGTAGCAGAGGAAGCAGCCTTGTTTTCCACACTAGTAAAATGCCGTCTAATCTCCCAAAGAACAGCCCCCGACCATGTGAAGCCCTGTCCTCACCACTGGCTCTGGGAAAAGGGGCCACAGTTTGTGCTTGAGCACCTTAAAATTGCTAACATTCTATTACACCTTCTCCGTTTTGGGTGCCTCACTTCTCCAGTGACTTTGATCACAGCACAATTTAACTAAAGCTGATTTGATCGCCTGAGTGTGAGAGATGAGTGCACGAAGCTCAAACAAGGGACAAGCTTACAACCTACAGGAGAAATGCTGACATTGGATCACGTCACATGAACAATAACTTCTATCTAGCAGCAGGATAATCAAAACCATTAGAGCAAAAGAGGAATGTAGAGAATACTTATCCAATGTTTTTTTGATTCAGACAAAAAGGTGCCACTAAACTGGCAGGATTAACTATGCAATACTCTTCATGTAATTATCAATGTGTGGATTGTAAGTATCATCATTTTGTCTTTTGCAAGTAAGATTGTAAGCAGAAATGTCTATGATGTGACTTGCATTTTCTCTTCTGGCGAATTTCTGTTTTGTACTAAACAAACTAGCAGAGAGAATTCACAAGATAATACTGAACAAAAGTAGTATACACTAACACAATGGTTTTCCTATTCTTTTCGCTGTGTTTGCTTTTTGATCTTTGAGCATATATCATGCTTACAATCCAGGAAACGTATTTGCACAGTGATGCTTCTCTCTCATCAGTTCTCCAGACAGCTGCTTTGACCCACTGTTTCCAGCTTTTGCTCTCTTTTTGGGTGTAAAAATAACTCCTCTAGACATCTGTCTGCTGGTGATGTACTGCCAGTGCTCTGGTGATGTCAGCCATCTTGGATAAACCATTAAATGATGAAGAGTATCTAGAATCTCCTCTTCCTCCTTTCCCTGTTCCACAGCTCTGATGCTTAACCAGAGACATTGAGACAAGAGTGCTGCACAGGGACAAGGTTAACTGAACAATGAGAGGATTGACAAAACTCCTGACACCTCAACGACGTATGAATAAAAGATGTGAACTATTCTATGGAACATTCCGGAGGTACAAATGTGCTTGTAAAGCCGCATTTTTGGGCCGATGTATTCTCCCCTTTGAGCCCAAATGTCAAATACAACATTGCAGGTAATCTCTCATTTTGCAGGGAACACGTTCAGGCTGATGGTTTGATAGAGAATGAGAAGAATGACCTGTGTTCAAAACAGATTCAAGGGTGAAACGGATTTTACAAGAGCGCCAACAGAAAACCACTCTGATGTCCGAGGCATAAGTCATACAAGGTGAATGTGAGGGGTTTGCTTCTACTAAGGAAAACAAAGCATCTCAAAAGGTTGATGGAAAGTCGTCTTGTATCAGTTTCAGATTTTTCACAATTATCGGCATAAGTCAGACTTCTTCTTTTCAATACTAAGTTACTTTGAAAAAGTACATAGTTACACATTATAAAAACATTATGGTCAAATTGTAACTTATTGCATCATCGAGACCATCCAGGTAGACCTGATATTCTTTCATAATATAATCATATTGAATCATGTTTTCGTAAAATATTTTTGAATAAACAAATAGATAAAATGTATTTTAAGTGAATTATATGTACTGGTAGGGGAAACTGGTGCACCCACTAGGGATTCAAACCCAGAACAGACGGGAGTGTAAAGATTTTAAAACTATATGCGTTATTGTAACATAATTAACCTGTAATTATAACCAGCGATGAATTCATATCTTGTTACAATAACCCTTCTCAAATTGGTCTATTTTAGAAATCGACCAAAAACGCAGCATTCTTACTCATGTAGTCTTAAGAGTTCAATACTGTGTATTATCCCCACTGCTTTTTTGCTCTGAGACGTTGAGAAGAAAGCAAACGGCAGCCTTTTACACGGATCAGCATTAGAAGGGACCAGTAGATCACTGCTAATCAATTTACAGCACTCCCCTGACGACTAAAGCTTGGCTCTGACTCAAGTGACGCTGCCAACGACTTCTCTGATTGGATTTGGCCTTTATAGATTAGCTGGGATTATTTCACCCTTGCTGAAGATCAAACCGGAAGCCATTATGCTGTGATCATAATCGACAAATATTTACAGGACTGCTGACACACTGACAAAGTCTAATCTTATGATGTACCATTACACAATTTATTCAAGTGTTTCAACAGACAATTAGCAAGCTAACACAAATGCAAACGGAGAAAGGGTTTGGTGCGGAAGGTGTATTGTTACAGCTTTCTTAACTATTGCACAAATAAAATGTACTGCCCAAATCATTTGTGAAAACAAGTCTCCGACACAATACAGCAGTGAGAAATTTTAAAGATGATAAAAACAGTAATACTTGAATAGGTGCTGAATGTGATGAGAGTGTGGCAGCCGGACAGGAATTTGTGCCTTTTATAGGTGTGAAGACCAAGACTCGCACCAACATATGTTTATTATGTTTTGTTGCAACAGTATTAGCATTTAAAATAAAAAAAAATTACAATTATGTTTTTGATAGTATTATACCATTTTATTATTATATTAATAACATTATGTTCAGATCAAGTCTACATTATATAAGTCATCTGGGGGAATCCCAAGGAAAAAGTCTGCATAAAAGTAAGCAGAAACCTTGGAATAAAAGTTTATATATATCTGTCTTTTTCTGTCCTGGTTCCTTGTTCTCTCAAGTCCACCCTCTGAACGATATGGGCTCCCATTCTCCCACATACGTAACATCTCCCTTGGTAGGTCTTACCTTCGCCAAAAATATGGTTTTCACCACTTCCAACATCAAATCATTTGTTCCTTGTACTATTTTCTTACCAAATCTTTATAAAACAATGTTTCTCAAACTAACAAATTGATTAACAAATAGATCAATAAACCCTGGTGACACATTACCCCCTGGCGGAGGTAATTATCTCATATACAAGAGATAAGGGCTGAGCCTGAGTTGTCTGTATCACCTCTGGACGAGCACATGTAACTAGGTCAGGAAAAGCTCATCTAGTCAAAGCATTGGACGAGTTGGATGAAACAAAGAGGGAAGACTGAGATGAAAGCGGCAGGATTATAAAGGAGGGGACGAGTGTAAATTCTTGTGAGATCTGTAAATGTTCATATTCTGAGAGGTTTCTGACTTTGTTAGCCAAGCCCCCTGCTGTGACCTTCTTCTGCAAATGAACACACAAATCCTCCCTGGGATAAAAACAGCTTAGCCAACCTGAAATCATAGAATTCTCTTGTAAAAGATGAGCAGCAAAATACACATGGGTTATTCACCCACATTTTTATGAACAGTTATTCCAACAGATGTGCATAAGAAAATAAACTGCAAATGTGTCTTTGAAAAAGTGTTGTTATCCAGATCCTTGGTTTCAAGTATCTTTTAATGCCAGACAAAGCATGACCTCTTCATAAAGACAGACCAAATAAAAACATCCTTAACATTGTAAATAAAAAAAACCCAGCAAATATCTCAATAATGCAACTTAAAGCTCGGGTATCTAACTTTCGAAAACACAACAATGAAACTATGTAATAAAATCCCTCAC